TTTCTACAGAAAGACAAAAAAATTAAAAAGTGGGGGAAAAGAAAGGCGGTCCAGCTCCATGATGGGATCTTTACAATTCTCACACTAACCAAGAGTAAAAATAATGACAACTGATTCTGGAGTCCAAGGAGACCCACATTCCCATGCCTGGAGGTCACCTGGGAAAGGGGGGGAGGGGACATGCTCCCTGTGGGAGAGGAGGGGCAGAGGGGGAGCGGAGGTGGAGGGAAAGGAGGGGAAGGTGGGAGGGGAGGGGCAGAGGGACCCCCCCAATTGCTGGTTGGAGTCATAGATATTTGCAAGAGCCTGCCGCCCCCCACCCCCCTTTCTCCCAGGTCAGGGGCCACAGCACCCCAAGCCACATCCTTGCAAGGACATCCTCCCTCTGCAGACAGAGCAGCAGCAAATTCTTTTCCTGGGAACAACTCTATCACGCCGACATCTGTTACTCTTAGGCGATCTGAATGCCATAACAGTTTAAAAAACAGAGTTTTAAATGCTTAAATAAGAAGACAACAGTTTGCCGGCGTTGCAAAACAGCATATAAACTGTGCTGGAATTAGCACGAGGGAAACATTTATCTTCCCTAGATAATCTTGGAACTGGACTCTTTTTATGGTGTGTAATTATGTTTATTAGCATGGAAAGATGGTCATGATACATTGCTAGAGGCGGGGGTGAGGGGGAGCCCGGTTGCAAATACCGAGCCAGATTTGTCCAGGGAGCACTTGATCCTGCCTCCCCCCGGCCTCATGTTGTGCCGGACGGCCAGGTGGCTGGGGGTGGCCTTCTTTCTTTCTCCGCATTTTGGAGCTGGAACGACCACATGGAATGGCGCAGTCATTGCTGAATCCGGCCCAGTCTGGTGGTGAAAGCTGCTGGACCGAGGGGTCCCAAAGACCTGTCCTTCCCGGTACCGCCCACCCCAAGCCTCAGCGGTCTGGGGGGGGTCTGTGCCCGGGAGGTCAGTCCCAGCGGCCAGAGGAGCAGCCGCGTGGTGCACAGCGAAAGGCGCCCTGCTGTCCCCGGGGAGAGGCCCACAACCGCTGACCACCACCTGCCAGGCCTCCGGGGGCTGAGGTGATGCTGCGGGAAAGGCCTCCCGGACTTGACCCAGCGGCCAGTCTGCGTGGGAGGCGGCGCCTGGACAGAGGCTGCGGAGAGCCTGCTTGCGAAGAGGACCACCAGGGGAGCCCCAAGAGGGGCGAGGCCAGGGGGGCCAGGCTTGTGGGCACAGCGCGCCAGGCGGGATCTGAACGTTTATTCTCAGAACAAGAAAAAGGCGCAGAAGGGGTGGACGCAGGTGAGCATGGTCAGGTCAGTGCTTCTAGAAGGCGGACGGAGGGAGGAGTGGGGACTGGCCAGCATGGAGGTAAGCCGTCTGGGGAAGAGAAGGGGAGGCAGCTGGGTGGGGCCCAGGCCCGTGGAGCTGGGAGCGCAGACACGAGCTACATTCTGGAGAAGAACCCAGAGGACGGACTGAGAGCGTGGATGTGGAGTGAAGCCAAGCACACCCCGTGCCCACCAGGGCCACTATCCAGTGGTCTTGTGGGAGCTGGGAGAAGATTCCCCCCTTTCTCTAGGTGGGAGTCACACTGTGAACCCCTCCCATCCAATACCCACTTAAGGTGTGACCTCTAAGACTCCCACAGTCCCCAAGGGGAAGACCCCCAGGGTGTCTGCTTGAACCGCTTTGGCCTGGCAAAGCGGGGGTGCTGTGGCGGTCCAGGGAGAACCAGGGCTCTGCCCAAGGATGGGGGACCCCCTCCACAAGGGACCCCAGCAGCCCTGGTGCGGGGTGCGGCCAGCAACCACCTGAGGTGACTGGCGTCTGAAACCCCTGCAGGTCCCACAGGCCACTGAGCACTTACATAAATGCAAGTTGGGGAAGAACCACAGCCAGAATGAAAGGCAAGAATGTGAGTCCTGCCTGAGCTGGCCTGGTGGCTTGCAAAGCTCGTAAACAACGCGTGTTCCAAGTTCAGAGCCGACGCTGGGAGTGGGTCCCTAGTCCTCCTTAGCAAGACCTCGTGGAAAACTTGGGAGCTGACTCCTTTAGCTAGCGTTCACCAGCGACTGGCATAAAAAGCGTCTCCCACGAGAACAGTCATCCTGCTGTTGGGGGAAAGGAGAACTCTGACCTTGTGAGCTTGAGGGGTGACCACAGCCAGCCCAGCTCATCCTGCCCATCCCCTGCCAGAGGCCTGTCCCTGTCCTGGCAGTTTTTCCTGAATACCCCACGCCGACCCGGCCGCTCCCTGACAGCAACAGACACCTCGTTCCTTCACCCCCTACGTCCCCGGGTCTGGTCTTTGGCTGGGGTGATGAGCGGGAGCTCATTTAGTATCTGTTGTGTGAGCACAGCCGGGCATTCTGGTGGACATTTCGGTGACCGACAAGCTCCTCTACCACGTAGCCCCAATAGCTACTCTACCGGTGTGAAGTAGGCCCTGCTGTCTCGGGTTGTGTCACTTCCACTCTGATCTTGGCACCACATCACCTCGTGACAAGTTGCTCAGAACAGATCTCTGTTGCTAAGCGAAGTGTGACCGTATATGTATCTTTTCCAAAAGACCAGTGTTCACTCCACACATGCTTCCCCTGTCCAGGCAGACGACAGACCCGTCGGGGAGCTGGGATCAGGAGACCAAACAGCCATGGACTCCGCCACTCCCAAGCATGTGCCTGTGGGTTCTAATTTTCCCAACTCTATAACGAGAGACAGAGTTGACCCCCCACGTCCTAAGATTTTGGGTATGAGGCAATGGGGACTCATCGGAAAGGCGCTCTGCAAGCTTACAGGGACCCACCAGGTTCAACTGAGGAGGCAGAAGCGTGGGGAGTGTGGACCATATTGTACTCTGAGGAAGCTGGGCAGGCAGGTAATGTGAATTTGGAGGTCTAGCTGGCAACTGCAGTCACAGAGGGGAGGCCATCCACGCCAAGCTCTCTGTACCTGGGACCAGTAGATCAGGGCACAAATGATGGAGCTAGCAGAACGTGAGCAGCCTGTCGGAGGCAATAGAGAATGGTGAGGTCTGCGGCCAAGTGCTCCTCCAGTTTTAAAACACACACCCCATCAAAGACAACATCTTTGGCCTGCAGGCTGGGTTTGGGGCCTGGCAGACTGCCTTACTGATCATTTTTCACTCGGGTGCTTTGACATCTGGAGGGACGACTACCTTCAGCCACCTCCTTTATCGGGCTTTTATGTGCTCTCACACTTGACCCACGTCACTAGGTAAGTGGGAGTAGCCGGGTGCCTCAGAGCCATGGAAGTGATTCCAACCAGCCCGTGCTACGGAGGGTGGGGCTGCAACCTTGCGCTGCTTGGTGCATAAACCGTAAGTTGAGCTAGAAAACCTGTGTCGTTTCGAAACTGTTCCTTTACTGCACCTGCCACTCTGCTTAAACAGGGACTGAACTTTCCAGGTGGCCGGACCCTGGGGTGTCAATCTCAGCATCGCCAATTCACCCCAAGGTTCTGAAGGCAGGCACCCAGGCCTGATGGGAAGAACTAAAGTAGTAGGGACTCCCCTGTTGGGGTGCACCAGTTGCTGTTTCTGATAAACTCGGCTGACTTGGTTCTCAGCAGTTCTCCCCAGAGGCCACCCCTTCCCCAGGCCCACGCTGGAAGGACAGGAGGTTTTAGAGCACAGTGAATGGACAGTCTAGGGGCTACCCAAGGGTCTCCCCTCTAGGGAAGAGGTTACCCCAGACAGACCCAGCATGCATGCTTCATCCCCGTGGGCTGTGCAATTCAGCCATCTCAGAAGGGTCTGGAGACTGCACGCACCTCTCGCCAGCAGGGGTCTCTATGTGGGCCGGTCAGACCGCAGTCACAGCTCACAGCGGCTGATGGCTTTGTTTGTACAAACAGGAGTTTAAGGTTTGGCAAACATGCTGGAAGACAGTCTGGCAGCAGCAGACGTGGGGACGATGAGCCGAAGGGGCAGCTGATCCGGGCCCCTGGTCTCACTCTGAATGTGAGCCCCGGGCTGCGGGGGTGCCCCAGGCTCCCACCCAGCCTCCCCCAGGAAGGAACAGCCTCACAAAGACAGCACTTCCTTCCCTTTGCTACAGTCTCCAGCCCAGAACTAATAAGCAAGGGGTAGGGAGAGAACAGAAAGCGTCACGATGGACCCCCAGATGGGCCAGGGGAGAAGGGGTCCCCACCTACCCATTTAACAAGTACACCTTTCGCGTTGCCCTCGGGTCCTGAACCCCTTTCTGCTGTCTTTCTTTCTTCACAGTTGAGATGTTGTTTGTCAAGATGAGCTATTTGTGTCGCATGAAACGTTCCGGATTGTAGACAAAACTGGACAAACCTTCTCCTGCCACTCACACACTGCACCCCAAACCTGCAAAGCTGTTAGTGCAGACGTTTCTTTGCCCAGCACAGAACTGGCTCTTGAGAAGTGCTTACCCCTAAAGGTGCCCAAAAGACAACGCCCCTGAGGCCTGGAGCTTATCAGGTCGATGCCTTCTTGAGCTGACTTGCACGGGGGTGGTCTGGGCACATGTGTGACCCCTCCGGGGCAGCCGGGCGAAGACCCACAGGCAAGAGGTGGCTCTGAGTCTCACCTGGTGGCCTCACGTGGATTTTAATCAAGCTATAAAATGCTCAGTGTCCCGTGGGTAAGGACTCTTCCCGTGTGTCTGTGTGTATGTACTAAAATCTCAAAGCTATTTGTTTTCTTAAGTAAGATTAGCCATCATGCAAAACGTACTGGCCAAGCAGTGAATAAAGTACACATATCCCCCTCAAGGTACATTTCAGTCCTTGCAAAGAGCAAAGCAACATCCGCCCGTGGGCTCCCGGGAGGGTCCCACCGCCTCCGACAGCTGCCAGTCCGGCCGGCGCCTCACAGACTCAGGTGTTGTAGATTCTCGAAGCTCTCTTGGCTGCCGTTTGGGCATCGGGCGGGTCTTCTTCCTCTTCCTCCGTCCGCTTGTGTTTTAAAAACAAGTCAGACTTCAAGAAGCGGCTGTAGCTGTCATACTTCATGAGGTTGAAGATCTGAGGAGGAGGAGAAGGGTGTGAGCCACGTGGACCCTCGGGCTGACACCCACCCCGCGCTCGCTAAACACCCGTCTTGACACCCGATAGACACGGATGACAGCCACACGCAAAGCAAGCGAGGTCAGCCGTGCGGCCCCGGAGCCTGCCCGGTCTTCGGGTCACTATGCAATGACCTCGAGGGATTGCGAAGGAGTCTCACAGCCCGGAGCGCAGGGCAAATCTGTTTATTTGTCACAGTTTAGATTCCCACCCCCAGGTTAACATCCCTGGACCAAGAGGCCCTTTCAGAATCTCCACTTTATTTGGAGAGATAACACAGGGCTGTGTTTCTCCAAGAGCCTGAAACAGAGGAACTGAAACTTTCCACAGAGAAGACGAAGCCTTATCAGATGAGGCCGATACTGTCCAGCCCCCCAAGCCTGGCGTCCAAGGTCTCCGACAAACCTATCATTACGCCAAGAACAAAATGGGCTTGTTCTTTGCGGGCCGAGAGGATGAAAGTGCAGCTGAGCAAGGGCAGGCTCTGGGAACTCGCCCCTGATGAAGAAAAGGGCAGCTGGCCAGAGCAGGACCCCTGCAAAATGACCCTAGGGGAACAGACGCCCAGGACCCCTGGGTGGGAGAGCGGCCCCCTGCTGCAAGGTAGGCCCCCCCGGGGTGCCCCCTTCTCAGCCGAGGTTGCTCTCCCCCACCCCCACCCCATCCTACCAGCCTCCTCCCTTGCCTGATGGAGGGGTGGGGAGAGAAGCTGGAGGGAAACTCTCCAGCTGTCGGGGACCCTCCCCTTGGAGAATGCCCCCCTTTGCTCTCCCAGACCTTCCCGCTGAACTCTCAGGGCCTTCTGCAGACTACAAGCCCACACTGCGGCCCGGTGCCTTCTCTTAACTGCGACACCTTGGGCTCCACGGGTGGAAAATTCCAGAGGGGTTTGGCGCATCACTCACTGCCAGGCGTGGTTATCAAGTGGGTGGCAAAGGCTTGCCATCTTTTACAGCAGCCCCCTCCCAGGCACGCGGCGACTCTAACTGGACACGTGGAGGAGGGGAAGGCGGGGCGCACCCACCGGGCAGGCCAGGACCTGCGTTTTCTCAGTCGACGGCTCTGAGCACAGGGGACGTCTGGGCCGCCCGTGCGGACGCCGAGCAAAGGACTCTGGACTCTCGCCCTGGCGGCCGCCCCGGTGCCCTGGCTGACCTGTGCAAGTTCCAACTACTCAGAGACCATGACCCCCCGAGCCCCCCGACAGTACCGATTTTGGAGCAATCCTGTAACCCCAGATCCACTCACTGGGGTGTAGAGAAATGACCTGAAATTTTTTAAAAAACGCCCAGAAAATCCAGTCACAGCCAGGGTGCGGGTGGGGGGAGGATGCCATTATCACTCGGTGGCTCCTGCAAACGCACTGAGGGGTGTCACACCTGCTCCCAGAGGGAGTGTGAAGAGGGGCTCCCCAGCTGAGTCTGGAGCGATGCGAATGCTCCTGGAGGGACCGAGCTGCCTCACGAGCGCCCCCCTGGCGCCAGGCCTGCACCCCCACCAGGACCCACTGCCGCCAGCAGGATGCGGTTCAACTGGGCGTCTCATCTGCAGCTCGCGTGTGGGAGTGGAACATCCTGTTTGCCTGCCACGGCTCTGAGGCTCCCGCTTCAAAGGGGGGAAGAGAAAGGGCCGGGCTGCCGGGCTGCGGGGCTGGAGGGACCCCAGCCCAGGAGGCGGGGCG